TGTTGTTGTTGTTGTTGTATTATTATTATTTATTATTATTATTTATTATTATTATTATTGTTATTGTATTATTATTTGTTATTATTACTGTTATTATTGTTTTTATTGTTGTTATTATTGTTATGACTATTATTAATTTATGATTATTATTTATGATTATTATTATTATTGTTCTTATTGTTATTGTTGTTATTGTTATTACTGTTATTAATGTATTATTATTATTATTATTGTATTATTGTTTATTATTATTATTTATTATTATTATTATTGTTGTTGTTATTGTTGTTATTATTTGTTATTAATCATTATTATTTATTATTATTATTATTTATTGTTATTACTGTTATTATTGTTGTTATTATTATTGCTATTGTACTATTATTTGTTATTATTAGTGTTATTACTGCTGTTATTGCGTTATTCTTATTATTATTTGTTATTATTACTGTTATTATTGCTATTATTGTTATTATTATTGTTATTACTATTATTAATTGATTATTATTATTATTCTTAATTATTATTGTTATTGTTATTATTATTCTTTATTATTATTTTTATTGTTGTTGTTACTGTTATTATTATTTATTATTAATCATTATTAATTCATTATTATTATTATTGCTATTATTATTGTTATTATTGTTGTTATTATTGTTGTTATTACTATTATTAATTCATTATTATTATTATTATTGTTATTTTTGTTATTATTATCATTATTATTTATTATTATTTATTATTATTATTGTTGTTATTGTTGTTGTTATTGTTATTATTATTGCTATTGTATTATTATTTGTTATTATTACTGTTATTATTATTGTTATTGTTATTGTATTATTAATTGATTATTATTATTATTTATTATTATTACTGTTATTATTGTTATTATTACTGTTATTATCATTATTAATTTATTATTATTGTTATTATTTATTATTATTGTTATTGTTATTGTTATTGTTGTCGTTGTTGTTATTATTAATTCATTATTATTATTGTTATTGTTATTATTGTTATTACTATTATTAATTATTATTTCATTTTATTATTATTATGATTAATTATTATTATTGTTATTATTATTATTATTTATTATTATCGTTGTTGTTGTTTTTATTATTATTATTATTATTAATTATTATTTATTATTATTATTATTGTTATTGTATTATTGTTTATTAGTATTATTATTATTTATTATCATTATTTATTATTATTATTATTGTTATTGTTATTATTATTACTGTTATTGTTGTTATTATTGTGAGTGTTTTTGCTGTGCATGGGATTGACGTCTCTGTTCTTAGTGTTATTATTATTATTACTGTTATTGTTGTTGTTGTTATTGTTATTATTTATTATTAATCATTATTTATTATTATTATTATTGTTATTTTTATTAGTATTATTAATTATTATTTATTATTATTATTGTTATTGTATTATTAATTGATTATTATTATCATTATTGTTATTGTTGTTATTATTATCATTATTATTTATTATTAGTATTGTTGTTATTGTTGTTGTTATTGTTATTATTATTGCTATTGTATTATTATTTGTTATTATTACTGTTATTATTATTGTTATTGTTATTGTATTATTAATTGATTATTATTATTATTATTGTTATTATTATTGCTATTACTATTATTAATTTATAATTATTAATTTATTATTTATTATTATTATTATTATTTATTATTATTGTTGTTGTTATTGTTATTATTTATTATTAATCATTATTTATTATTATTGTTATTATTTGTTATTAATCATTATTATTTATTATTATTATTATTGTTATTAATCATTATTTATTATTATTATTACTATTTATTATCATTATTGTTATTATTATTGTTATTGTTGTTATTATTCATTATTAATCATTATTTATTATTATTGTTATTACTGTTGTTGTTGTTATTGTTATTATTATTATTGTTATTGTTGTTATTATTGTGAGTGTGTTTGCTGTGCATGGGATTGACGTCTCTGTTCTTAGTGTTATTATTATTATTACTGTTATTGTTGTTGTTGTTATTGTTATTATTTATTATTGATCATTATTTATTCTTGTTATTATTGTTATTATTATTGTTGTTGTTGTTTTGTTGTTATTGTTGTTGTTGTTATCCCTGTTCTGCTGCTGGGGGCCGTTGGGCTACGCCTGCGCCTCTGGGCGAGGCCTTGGCCGCCCCGCGCCCCGCCCCGCGCTCCCATTGGCTGCAGCACGACGCAGGAGGCGGGCCTCACCCGCAGCAACCAATCCCCGGCGTCCCCAGCCCAGAATAGCCCGGCCCGCCGTTGCCACGCAACGCCCGCGGCCACGCAGCGCCGCGCGACGCCGCCATTGGCTGCCAGGAGGGCGGGACTTCCTCCAATGGACCAATAGAAACAAAGTATATCCAAAAATGACAGTTAGCGCGTTCTTGACGCATGTTACGCAGCGTAGGAGGCGGGACTAAGCCTCCACACGTTCCCATTGGGTCATAGGAGGGCGGGGACTTCTTCCAATTGACCAATAGAATGCGAGTAGGGGGTAAAAATGACTGACAGAGCGTCAGAGACGCATCTGACGCAGCGTAGGAGGCGGGACTAAGCGTCTGCACGTTCCCATTGGGTCAAAGGAGGGCGGGACTTCATCCAACCGACCAATAGGAAGCGAGGAAGACTAAAAAGATGACAGTTAGCGCGTTCCTGACGCATTTTACGCAGCGTGGGGGGCGGGGACTAAGCCTCTACACGTTCCCATTGGCTCTGAGGAGGGCGGGACTTCCTCCAGCCGACCAATAGGAATTAAGTAAATCCAAAAATGACAGTTAGAGCGTCCCTGACGCATCTGACGCAGCGTAGGGGGCGGGACTAAGTGCGTGCACGTTCCCATTGGGTCAGGGGAGGGCGGGGACTTCCTCCAGTCGACCAATAGGAAGCGAGTAAATCCAAAAATGACAGTTAGCGCGTTCTTGACGCATGTTACGCAGCGTGGGGGGCGGGACTAAGCCTCCACACGTCCCCTTTGGGTCAGAGGAGGGCGGGACTTCCTCCAGTCGACCAATAGGAATAAAGTACATCCAAAAATGACAGTTAGCGCGTTCTTGACGCACGTTACGCAGCGTAAGGGGCGGGACTAAGCCTCTACACGTTCCCATTGGGTCAGGGGAGGGCGGGACTTCCTCCTATCGACCAATAGGAAGCGAGTAAATCCAAAAATGAGAGACAGAGCGTCAGGGACGCATCTGACGCAGCGTAGGAGGCGGGACTAAGTGCGTGCACGTTCTCATTGGGTCAGAGGAGGGCGGGACTTCCTCCAATTGACCAATAGGAGGCGAGGAGGGGTATAAATGACAGTTAGCGCGTCCCTGACGCATCTGACGCAGCGTAGGAGGCGGGACTAAGGCTCCACACGTCCCCATTGGGTCAGAGGAGGGCGGGACTTCGTCCAATTGTCCAATAGGAAGGAAGTAGGGGTAAAAATGACTGACAGGACGTCCCTGACGCATGTTACGCAGCGTGGGGGGGCGGGACTAAGACTCTGCACGTTCCCATTGGGTCAGGGGAGGGCGGGACTTCCTCCAACCGACCAATAGGAAGCGAGGAAGACCAAAAGTGACCGTGAGCGCGTCCCTGACGCACGTCACGCAGCGTGGGGGGCGGGGCGAAGGCCGCGGGCGCCGCGCTGATTGGCGGGGGGGGCGGGGCGGGGCCCCCCGAGGCCGCGCGTGCGCAGTGGGCGGCTGGCGCGCGGCGCAGGGACCCCCGAGGTAACGACGGAGCGGGACGGCGACGGGGGGACTTGTATTTGGAAAGGGGGATCTGGGAGGAAGGGGAAGGCCTCGATGGGGAGGGGGGGGCTTGTATTCTGGAACGGGGATCTGGAAGGGGGGGGAGGCCGTGGGAGGGGGGACTTGTATTTGGAAAGGGGGATCGGGGGGGGAGGGGACGGCCGAGGAAGGGCCGGGGTGGGGAGGGGGACTTGTATTCTGGAAGGGGGATCTGAGGGGAAAGACGTGGGGGGACTTGTATTTGGAAAGGGGGATCTGGGAGGAAGGGGAGGGCCTGGTAAAGGGGTGGGGGGGGAGGGGGGGGACTTGTGTGCTGGAAGGGGGATCTGGAGGGGGGGGGAAGGGGGCTTGTATTTGGAAACGGGGATCTGGGAGGAAGGGGAGGGCCGCGATGGGGAGGGGGGGGGGCTTGTATTCTGGAACGGGGATCTGGAGGGGGGGAGGCCGTGGGAGGGGGACTTGTATTTGGAAAGGGGGATCGGAGGGGGGGGTGGGGAGGGCCGAGGAAGGGCCGGGGTGGGGAGGGGGGGACTTGTGTGCTGGAAGGGGGATCTGGAGGGGGGGTAGGGGGGGACTTGTATTTGGAAAGGGGGATCGGGGGGAAGTGGGGAGGGCCGAGGAAGGGCCGGGGTGGGGAGGGGGGACTTGTGTGCTGGAAGGGGGATCCGAGGGGGAGGCCTGGGGAGGACGTGGGGGGACTTGTATTTGGAAATGAGGATCTGTGAGGAAGGAGAAGGCCGCGATGGGGAGGGGGGGGGCTTGTATTATGGAAGGGGGATCTGGAGGGAGACTGGAGACCGTGCACTGTGAATGGGGGGGGGACTTATATTCTGGAAGGGGGATCCGGGGGGGGGAAGGGGACTTGTATTTGGAAAGGGGGATCGGGGGGGGGGACTGAGGGCCGAGGAAGGGCCGGGGTGGGGAGGGGAGACTTCAATTCTGCAAGGGGGATCTGAGGGGGAGGCCGGAGGAGGATGGGGGGGACTTGTATTTGGAAATGGGGATCTGGGGGGGGGGGGTTGCGGCCTAGAAAAGGATGGGATGGGGAAGGGGTGGCTTGTGTTCTGGAAAGGGGATCTGAGGGGGAGGCCGGGGGGAGGACGTGGGGGGACTTGTATTTGGAAAGGGAGATCTGGGGGGGGATTTGGCGGCCTAGAGACGGATGGAATGGGGAGGGGGGGACTTGTGTGCTGGAAGGGGGATCTGGAGGGCGGGGAGGCCGTTGGCCGGGGACTAGTATTTGGAAAGGGGGATCTGAGGGGGGGGTTACGGCCTACCAAGGGCTGGGGTGGGGAGGAGGCACTTGTATTCTGAAAGGGGGATGTGAAGGATGGGGGGAAGTGGCGGGACTTGTATTTGGAAAAGGGGATCTGGGGGGAGGGGGAAGGCCTGGGAACGACTGGGATGGGGAGGGGGGACTTGAATTCTGGAAGGAGGATCTGGGGGAAAGGGGAAGGCATGGAGGGGAAATGGGAGGAACTTGTGTTCTAGAAGGGGGATCTGGAGAGGGTTAGGGCCTAGGAAAGGATGGGATGGGGAGGGGGGGACTTGTATTCTGGAAGGGGGATCAGGAGGGGGTAGAGAAGGAAGGGGCTGCGGAGGGAGATGGGGAGAATCCTGGGCTGGGGAAGGGGGAGGACTTGTATTCTGGAACAGGGATCTGGGAGGGGGGGGGTTAGGAACTAGGAAGGGATGGGGACTTGTATTCTGGAAGGGGGACCTGCGGGGGTGGGTTAGGGCCCAGGGAGGGGATGGGGTGCACAGGGAGGAAGAGGGGGAGCTGGGGATGAGCCTGGAATGCGGAGAAGGGGGGGGGACTTGTATTCTACCAGGTAGACCTGAGGGGTAGTGAAGGGATGGGAGGAGGAGGGGGAGTTGGGAATGATCCTGGGCTGGGGAGGAGGGGGGACTTGTATTCTGGAAGGGGGATGGGGGGGGATGGGTTTGGGTCCTAACAAGGGCTGGGATGGGATGGAAAGTGGGGACTTGTATTCTGGAAGGGGGACCTGGGGAGTGGGATCACTGATCGGAGTTAATTGATCACAGGGAATGAATGATACCACCTTGGTATCATTCATTCCAATTGCATACCAGTTTGGTATCATTAATTCCAACCTGAGATTCCCTCTGACGTCATTAATTCCAACCTGAGGTCCACCGGGGTATCATTAATTCCAATATGGTATCATTAATTCCAACTGGATATCAATTTAACATCATTAATTCCAACAGGATATCAACCTGGTATCATTCATTCCAATCTTAGATGAGCCTGGTATCATTAATTCCAGTATGATATCATTAATTCCAACTGGATATCAATTTTACATCATTAATTCCAACTTGATATCAACCTGGTATCATTCATTCCAATCTTACATCAGCCTGGTATCATTAATTCCAGTATGATATCATTAATTCCAGTTGGATATCAATTTTACATCATTAATTCCAACTGGATATCAACCTGGTATCATTCATTCCAATTTTATATCAGCCTGGTATCATTAATTCCAGTATGATATCATTAATTCCAGTTGGATATCAATTTTACATCATTAATTCCAACTGGATATCAACCTGGTATCATTCATTCCAATCTTACATCAGCCTGGTATCATTAATTCCAGTATGATATCATTAATTCCAATTGGATATCAATTTAATATCATTAATTCCAATTGGATATCAATTTAATATCATTAATTCCAACAGGATATCAACCTGGTATCATTAATTCCAATTTTATATCAGCCTGGTATCATTAGTTCCAGTATGATATCATTAATTCCAGTTGGATATCAATTTTACATCATTAATTCCAACAGGATATCAACCTGGTATCATTAATTCCAATTTTATATCAGCCTGGTATCATTAATTCCAATATGATATCATTAATTCCAGTTGGATATCAATTTAATATCATTCATTCCAACCTGATATCATTCATTCCATCTTGACACGGGTCTCGTTTCCCTCTGATTTCTGCTGCAGTGGGACTCGCGTGACTCGACGTCCCCTCCCGCCTCCTCCTTCCCTCCTTCCCCCCAACCAGGAAAGGAGGGAGACGCCTGGACCCGAAGCATGACCTGAGGGGAAACTGAGGCACAGGGGGGACGGACAGACAGAGGTGAGGACACCCAGCAAGGGGGGCTCAGGAGATGGGGGGAAGAGGAATCCTTCCTTCCCTCCTTCCTTCCCTCCTTCCCTCCCTCCTTCCTTCCCTCCTTCCTTCCCTCCTTCCTTCCCTCCTTCCTTCCCTCCTTCCTTCCCTCCTTCCTTCCTTCCCTCCTTCCTTCCTTCCCTCCTTCCTTTTGGGTGGATGGGTGGATGGATGGATGGGTGGATGGGTGGATGGGTGGATGGGTGGATGGGTGGATGGGTGGATGGGTGGATGGATGGATGGATGGGTGGATGGGTGGATGGATGGGTGGGTGGATGGATGGGTGGATGGATGGATGGGTGGATGAGTGGATGGGTGGATGGATGGATGGATGGATGGGTGGATGGGTGGATGGATGGGTGGATGGATGGGTGGATGGATGGATGGTGGATGGGTGGATGGGTGGATGGATGGATGGATGGGTGGATGGGTGGATGGATGGGTGGGTGGATGGGTGGATGGATGGATGGATGGATGGATGGGTGGATGAGTGGATGGATGGATGGATGGATGGATGGATGGGTGGGTGGATGGATGGATGGGTGGATGGGTGATGGATGGATGGGTGGGTGGATGGATGGATGGATGGATGGGTGGATGAATGGATGGATGGATGGGTGGATGGATGGGTGGATGGATGGATGGATGGATGGATGGATGGATGGTGGTGGATGGATGGGTGGATGGATGGTGGATGGGTGGATGGATGGATGGGTGGATGGATGGTGTGGATGGGATGGATGGGTGGATGGATGGATGTGGATGGTGTGGGTGGTGGATGGATGGATGGATGGTGGATGGGTGGATGGATGGATGGATGGGTGGATGGATGGATGGATGGATGGGTGGATGGGATGGGTGGATGGGATGGTGATGGAGGGTGGATGTGGTGGATGAGTGATGGGATGGATGGATGGATGGTGGATGGATGGATGGATGGTGGATGGATGGGGTGGATGGATGGGTGGATGGATGGATGGGTGATGGATGGGTGGAGGATGGATGGGTGGTGGGTGGATGGGTGGGATGGATGGGGATGGATGGATGGGTGGATGGTGGTGGATGGGTGGGGGATGGTGTGGATGGGTGGAGGGGATGGGTGGGATGGATGGGTGGGTGGATGGATGGGTGGTGGATGGTGGATGGGTGGATGGATGGGATGGTTGGATGGGTGGGTGGATGGATGGGTGGGTGGTGGATGGGTGGATGGTGGATGGGTGTGGATGGATGGGTGGGTGGATGGATGGTGATGGATGGGTGGTAGTGGTTGGATGATGGATGGATGGATGGATGGATGGGTGGTGGATGGTGGATGGGTGGTTGGATGGGATGGGTGGGTGGATGGTGGGTGGTGGATGGATGGATGGGTGATGGATGGGTGGATGGATGGATGGATGGATGGATGGATGGATGGGTGGGATGGGATGGGTGGGATGGATGGGTGGATGGAAGGAAGGGTGTGATGGGTGGATGGGTGGTGGGATGATGGTGGTGGATGGATGGATGGATGGATGGGTGGGTGGATGGATGGGTGGATGGGTGGTGGATGGATGGGTGGGATGGATGGGGATGGATGGTGGTGGATGGATGGATGATGGATGGGTGGGTGGATGGATGGGTGGGTGGATGGATGGGTGGTGGGATGGATGGATGGTGGATGGATGGTGGGGGATGGATGGTGAATGGTTGGATGGATGGATGGATGGGTGGGGTGGGTGGATGGTGGATGGATGGGTGATGGTGGATGGATGGGATGGATGGATGGGGATGGGGGGTGGATGGGGGGATGGATGGATGGATGGGGGTGGATGGATGGGTGGATGGATGGATGGATGGATTGGGTGGATGGATGGATAGATAGATGGGTGGATGGATGGATGTCTGTCTCTCTCTGGTATACATGGTAGACGTGATAGATATCTAGATATATCAGTTGAATGGAAGTGAACAACAGGAAGTGGAAATCAGATTGGATGATTCTTCTTCCTGTGTTGGGGTGATGGGGGGGTGGTTAGTTCCTGGCTGGGTCTCTGTCTGTCTGTCTGTCTGTCTCTCTCTGAGAATGGGGAGCGTTGGGGTAAACTGAGGCAGGCCTGGTGAGGGAAGTGGTCAATGGTGCGTCAGTCATTAATTAGTAACATGTTCATCATTCACTGATCATCAGTGCAAGGATTCCCTTCCTGACTCAGTTTCCCTCTGTCCCATGCCCTTGACCCTCAGAACATAGACAGACAGACGGACGGAAGCCTGGACCCCCTGGAATGAGGGGTTGTGTGTGTGGGAAATCCTGGTGTAACTTCCTGCCGGGAAGGTGACGCACTTCCTTCCTCGTTGTAGGTAAACTGAGGCCTGGCGGCGGATGGCGGAGACCCACGTCCACAGCCCTCGGACCCACGGACGCCCAGGGGGAGACATGAACCCCACCCAGGCCCAGACCTAGCCCAGGCTGGCACGGGGGGAAACTGAGGCACAGGTCAGCAACACCATCCTCTTCCTTCCCTCCTTCCTTCCTTCCTTCCTTCCCTCCTTCCTTTCTTCCCTCCTTCCTTCCCTCCTTCCCTCCTTCCCTCCTGCCTTCCTTCCTTCTTCCCTCCTTCCTTCCCTCCTTCCTTCCTTCCTTCCTTCCTTCCTTCCTTCCCTCCTTCCCTCCTTCCTTCCTTCCTTCTTTCCTTCTTTCCCTCCTTCCTTCCCTCCTTCCTTCCTTCCCTCCTTCCCTCCTTCCTTCTTTCCCTCCTTCCTTCCTTCCCTCCTTCCTTCCCCTCCTTCCTTCCTTCCTTCCTTCCTTCCTTCCCTCCTTCCCACCTTCTTCTTCCCTCCTTCCTTCCTTCCCTCCTTCCTTCCCTCCTTCCTTCCTTCCTTCCCTCCTTCCTTCCCTCCTTCCTTCCCTCCTTCCTTCCTTCCTTCTTTCCTTCTTTCCCTCCTTCCTTCCCTCCTTCCTTCCTTCCCTCCTTCCCTCCTTCCTTCTTTCCCTCCAACCCGTCCTTCCTTCCCTCCTTCCCTCCTTCCTTCCTTCCTTCCCTCCTTCCTTCCTTCCCTCCTTCCTCCTTCCTTCCCTTCTTCCTTCCTTCCTTCCTTCCTTCCTTCCTTCCTTCCCTCCTTCCTTCCCTCCTTCCTTCCCTCCTTCCTTCCCCTCCTTCCTTCCTTCCCTACCTTCCTCCTCCTTCCTTCCTTCTCCTCCTTCCTTCCTTCCTTCCTTCCCTCCTTCCTCCTCCTCCTTCCTTCTTCCCTCCTCCTTCCTTCTCCCTCCTTCCTTCCCTCCTTCCTTCTCTCCTTCCTTCCCTCCTTCCTTCCTTCCTTCCTCCTTCCGTCCTTCCCTCCTTCCTTCCCTCCTTCCTTCTCTCCTTCCTTCCTTCCTCTCCTTCCCTTCCTTCCTTCCTTCGTTCCCTCCTTCCTTCCTTCCCTCCTTCCTTCCCTCCTTCCTTCCTTCCTTCGTTCCCCTCCTTCCTTCCTTCCTCCTTCCTTCCCTCCTTCTTCCTCCTTCCTTCCTTCCTTCCCTCCTTCCTTCCCTCCTTCCCTCCTTCCTTCCTTCCTTCCTTCCCTCCTTCCTTCCTTCCTTCCTTCCTCCTTCCTTCCTTCCTTCCTTCCTTCTTCCTTCCTTCCTTCCTTCCTTCCTTCCCTCCTTCCCTCCTTCCTTCTTTCCCTCCTTCCTTCCTTCCCTCCTTCCTTCCTTTCCCTCCTTCCTTCCTTCCCTCCTTCCCTCCTTCCTTCTTCCTCCCTCCTTCCTTCCTCCCTCCTTCCCTTCCCTCCTTCCTTCCTTCCTTCCTTCCTTCCCTCCTTCCTTCCCTCCTTCCTTCCTCCTTCCTTCCTTCTTTCCTTCTTTCCCTCCTTCCTTCCCTCCTTCCTTCCTTCCCTCCTTCCCTCCTTCCTTCTTTCCTCCAACCCGTCCTTCCTTCCCTCCTTCCC